GGTCCCTTACCTTGCTTAGGCCTAGTGTTGGTTAGTAGGGAATGAGGGAATAAGGAACCCTATATAACCCCTTAAAGGGTATATACAGGGGGAATCTAGAGCTACCGTGTATGATCCCTTAAAGGCTAAATATAGGGGGATATAGAGGTGCCCTGGATAATCCCTGAAAAGGGTATATATAGGGGGATATAGAGGTCCCTAAACCCCAAACCCTGCACCCTAAACCCTCATTCCCTACGAAAACCAACAGAGGGATCTCATGGAACCTTTTGTTCTAGAAGATCCCCCTTCTACAACCCCCCGTAAACTGGGCTCTAAGAGTCCGTACAAAGAGTTTAGGGTTTAGGATTTAGGGTTTAGGATTTAGGGTTTAGGGTTTAGGGTTTAGGGTTTAGGGGTTGCTGTGATGTGGCGCAGAAGCTATGTCGAGTGGGATGCCGACTAGCCTCCAAAGCTTGGGAGGCAGCTGTGGCCCGATTGTACTTGGAGGTTCATGGTACATGAACCAATTAAGACTGGGTAGTTTAGGGTTGAGGGTTTCGGGTTTAGGGTTTAGGGTTTAGGGGTACTTATTGACCAATTAATTATAACTGTACTTATGACCCGCTTATAAGCCCCTTAAGTGCCCTAATATGGTTATTGAATGGCTAATAAGTACCATGAGCCTCCAAGTACAGGACCAGCTGGCACTTCCAGCTCACGCCGTCTCGGGCGGCAAACTCACCGGAACCTATTCCTTGTAGGGTTTGAGGTTTAGGGTTTAGGGTTTAGGGTTTAGGGTTTAGGGTTTAGGGTTTAGGGTGTAGGGTTTAGGGTTTAGGGTTTAGGGTTTAGGGTTCCTTGTAGGGTAGGCCTAAGCTCACTTCAGTTTCCTGCTTCCACATCCGGTGTTGAGGGGCTTCTTTCACAAAGCCCTGATTTAGAGTCTGTGAGGGCTGCCCCATACATCGTTCCAGAAATAGTTCAGCACCGATTCTGGCAGAAATGGGCCCCATGATTTTGCCAGATTTTGTTTCCATGGGAGGCACCTTCCCTAAACCCTAAACCCTAAACCCTAAACCCTAAACCCTAAACCCCCAAACCCTGGCCCCCCATATCCTTCGCTGCCTCCGCTTCGCAATGTCCATGCGAGTCGTTGTCAATGTTGCGGATGCGCAGGGTGAGTTCCGACCTATATAGGCCCCCAAAGGCCCCAAACCCTACAAGCGACAACGCCCTAAAGCCCAAACCGTAAACCCTAAACCCTAAACCCTAAACCCTAAACCCTAAACCCTATTCAGAAGCACTATAGAAACTCCCAAACATCATCTTTCAGCTCTTAAGAATCCCATGCGCTCATTCCATGTGATTCCCTGCGCGCGCCAACGTCGAAACTGAAGTAGGGTTTAGGATTTAGGGTTTAGGGTTCAGGGCGTGTGTCGGGGTACGTGTTTATGGATTTAAGGACTGGGTTTAGGGTTTAGGGTTAAGGGTTTAGGGTTTCGGGTTTAAGGTAATCTCTACATCCTATGAGGGCTGGGGTTTTTCGGTTATGGGTTGATGGGTTTATAGGGTGTTCAGGGTTTAGAACCTAAACCTCAAACCCTAATAAACCCTAAAGTGGCCCTAGGCCCTAAACCCTAAACCCTAAACCCTAAACCCAAAATCCTAACCCTAAGCCCGAAACCCTAAACCCCAAAACCCTAAACCCGAGGGTTTAGAGGGTAATTAGGAGGGTGGGAGGGGGGGTGGGTGGGAGGGTGGGAGGGGTGGGTTGTGGTTCATAGGCTTAGGGTCCGACCATCCAAGGCATCACTCTTCCCGACCTCAACAGCTCCTCGTCTGCATAGACGCCACGCTTTAGGAGTTGAAGCCCTGAACCCCAAACCCTGAACCCTGAACCCTAAACCCTAAACCCTAAACCCTAAACCCTAAACCCTAAACACTAAACACTAACCTGAACCCTTCGGGTTCAAGGACTGGGGCCAGTTAGGGGCGCCATATGCAGGGTCTTCGGGAATGACGATTCCTATTTCTTCAAGAGGGCTTCACGGCCCAGCCTGGTATTTAAGTCGGGCTCCATGGAATTTAGGGTTTAGGGTTTAGAGTTTAGGGTTTAGAGTTTAGGGTGTAGGGTGTTGTGTGCAGGGTGTAGGGTGTAGGGCTTATAGTCGTTACTCAGCACCTGTATGAAAAAGAAGCAAAGACATGCGGCGAGCCCAACATGGCACCCTTAGGGAGACTCGAAACCCTAAATCCCTAAACCAACCCTAAACCCCCAACCCCAAAAAACCCCCCAAACCCCCAACCCCCCCCCCCCCCAAAAAAAAAAAAAAATATATATATAATAATAATAATAATAATAATAATAATAATAATAATAATAATAATAATAATAATAATAATAATAATAATAATAATAATAAAAACTTCCCCAAAACCCCGAAACCCCCCAAATCCAAGAGGTCCGGCCCACCCGATCACCCTGACGCTGAGCGAGCCGGACGGTGACCACATAGGTGCAGTGCAGAGATGTCAGGGGGTCAAAAGGCTTCTAGGAAGCACTGAAGCCACAACTCCTACTTTTTTGGGGTGGATGATTTTGCAGCTTCTGCCTCTGACCCCTAAACCCAGAACCCGAAACCCCAAACCCAAAACCCTCAAACTCAGTCTTTAAAACACGGTAGGTTTGGGCTCAACCCGAAGCCCTACATCCTAAGCCCCTTTCAGAGCTTCGGGTTGACTGGGATTTAGTGAGGACAGCTTCGTCCTTGTTGTGGGCTGGACCCAACCAGCAACGGACTAAGACACGCACATGGGTCTCCGCAGTAGACCCTGAACCTGCCCTCCCTAGCGGACTAAACGAACCCCAAAAGGGTTTTGGGTTTAGGGTTTAGGGTTCATATACCAGAATAGGTCTTGGGGACTAAATGAACCCTAAAAGGGTTTAGGGTTTAGGGTTTAGGGTTCATATACCAGAATAGAATTTTTGTAGTCATGGCATATGACCGCTTCACTAAAGCTACAACCATGGAACCCGAAACCCGAGACCCTAAACCCTAAACCCTAAACCCTAAACCCTAAACCCTAAACCCTAAACCCTGCAACCTAAACATACTGTCTATCGGTAGGGTAGTTGGAGCCTTTGGGCTGTGGCATTTTTCTGATGCTTTGGAACAACCTGGAGAGTGTTGTAAACGCTTGGCACCCAGTCCTCAGATCTTTGGCGAAGCTCTAAATTTCAAACCCTAAATCCTAAACATCAAAACCCTGAAACCTAAACTTCAAGCCCCTAAACCCGAAATCTCAAAACCCTTAACCCTAAATCTCAAAACCCCTAAACTCTAAGCTTCAAACCCCTAAACCCTAAATCTCAAAACCCGAATAAACCCTTCGAGCGCCAGGTGTTGCCTTCCTGGACGTGTCGCAGTTTAGCGCCGAAGAGAGCTTTCAGGAGGGCTTGGGATTTTCTGGGTTTAGGGTTTAGGGTTTATAAGGATTTATACGGGTTTATAAGGGCTTATGAGGATTTAAACGGGTTTCAAAGTGTTTCAAAGGGTTTAGTGTTTAGGGTTTAGGGGGGTTTAGGGTTTAGGGTTCCGGGTTTAGGGTTTAGGGTTCAGGGTTCAGGGCGTAGGCTAGGACCCTGCTACCCTAAATCCTCCAAGAACCCTAAGGCCTACATCAACCATTCTTCTGGGTCTGGCTTGGAATAGCATGCTCCAGAGGTTTGTTTTTGTTATCCTTCTTCACCCATAGAATGTAATCTTCCCCTACTAGTTGCTTAAGAACCCCAAAACATGAAAGAGAATTGTCCCCTATTAAGGTTCCTTTTCAATATTGGTGAGTGCAAAAAACATAACTTGGTGTCCTTTGGGGTGTACAAGAAATATGTACCCTACTTCATATGTTTTTTTTGGTGGGGGGGGGGGGGGGGGGTGGTCTGAAGCAAACAGTAGCTTATACCCTTAAACCCTCTTGCCTTTAAACCCTTAGACCCTTGTGCCCTATAACCCTTAAGCCTGGGATGTGCCCCCCCCCCCCCCCCCCAACCTGAGACTAACAGTCCTTAGTAGGGATTCTGGTACCTTTCCTAAATAGTTCCATGCTGTTTCGGGTGATTGGGCAACTTCTTAGAGGGACCTTCCTTTCGAGGGGCGGTGGTGCATGGCTACGCTGAATAGTTGCATCAAACCTGGGATGCATGGGTTTAGGGTTTAGGGTTCAGGGTTTAGGGTTTAGGGTGCATCATGGAAGCTGGTTCTTACGAGGGCTTGAAGAGCAGCAGCATGTTGCCGCCGACATTGTTGAGCCCCATGGCTCGGCTTACTATCAGCCTGGCGATCGGCGATCTGTATGCTCGCCGAGAGGAGAAGAGGATGCACAATGCAATCGCGAAATATGCAAAGCAGCCGGAGAGGCGAGTTTTTAAATCTCGCTACAAGCTGTTCATCAAATGCACCTTCCGCGATGGCTTCGCAAAGATCAACGAGAGGTACTTGCTTCAACCAGGTCCCCTAAACCCCACACCCTAAACCCTAAACCCCAAACCCTAAACCCTAAACCCCAAACCCTAAACCCTAAACCCTGAACCCTAAACCCTAAACCCTAAGCCCTAAACCCTAGGCTGAGTGGGGTTGGATGAACACTTCTGCAAGACATGCAAGTGCTCACATTCTATGCCTGAAGCCTAAACCCTGCAACTCCTCGCCTTCGCCCCCGAACAAACTTTAGGGTTAGGGTTTAGGGTTTAGGGTTTAGGCCCTCTGCTCGAAGCCCCTGTATTCCCGAAAGCAAAGCCACACAAACTTCACCCCTTAGGCCCAAGGTGCCGCCCCCGATAAGCACGCAGCCCCCCCCCCCCCCCCCCCCCCCCCCACCCAGAAAAAAAAACAGAATAATAAGTCCCGAGCCCTAAGTCCTAAGCCCTTAACAGAAGTCCCAAACCTTACTTAGAAGCTTTTTTGACTCAGTAAGCCAACCCCCCACCCCAAACCCTAAACCTTAAACCCCAACAAGAGGAGACCAGCGTGGAGCTGCTTACCGCCGCGGGCACTGTGGCCCCGTCCTCGGCGCCTTCTTCGGGTCTGGGACGTAGACAGAACCCTAAACCCTAAACCCTAAACCCTAAACCCTAAACCCTAGACCCTAGACCCTAGACCCTAGACCCTCGACCCTAGACCCTAGACCCTAGACCCTAGACCCTAACCCGAAACCCGAAACCCCAAACCCTAAACACCCTTTAGGGTTCAGCCTGAAGCCTGAAGTTGGGTCGGCTTCATGTGTTCTTGGATTTAGGGTTGTTTGGGGTTTAGAGGGGGGTGGTTAGTGTTTAGGGTTGAGGGTTGAGGGCTTTGGGTTCGAGATTGAGGTTTCGTTTCTTGGGAGTTGGTGATGCGGTTGCACGCTCTTTTTGTGAACCCTAGATGTCTGTTGGGGCTTAGGATTTCCGGTTCGGGAAGCTTTGCGGCACATTGGGTCCGAACATGTTCCATCACAAACCTCAGTATACCGCACACATGAATCAGGGCACATGCACCCTAAACCCTAAACCCTAAACCCTAAACCCTAAACCCTAAACCCTAAACCCTAAACCCTAAACCCTAAACCCTAAACCCTAAACCCTAAACCCTAAACCCTAAACCCTAAACCCTAAACCCTACAGACAAAAACCTAAACCCTAAAAAACCTACCTCCAAGAGGCAAAGCCAAGGATGACTTAAAGGTCTTAAGCGCCATGCCCTGTGAAGGGTGGCACGCAAGTGTGCCAATGAAAGCGCGGTCGGTAGAAGAGTGGCCACCCACCTAAACCCTAAACCCCTAAACCCTAAGCCCTAAACCCTAAACCCTAAACCCCCCAGGTACCCCGTAGCAAGGGCCTAAGTTTAACTTAATGGTCAAGGGAGTCATACTCGGACCCCTAAGGATGTACCCCCCAAGAGTTAGGTTCGTTTAAGAAGCTCCGACTCTGGCCCTTATATACCCCCAAGGGTGCAAGGTAGAGTCACATGAAATGGGGGCTTAGGATTTAGGGTTTAGGGTTTAGGGGGGGCTCTTCAGGGCATCTTAAGGGTACTTGAAAGGGGGGGGGATCCAGGTAAACATGACAATCACAGTTGCCCAAACCCGAAACCCTAACCCGCGAGGCACTCTGCCCCGACACCCCAAGCCCTGAACGTTTAGGGTTTAGGGTTTAGAGTTTACGGCCCAAAATGGCGAGATGCCTAGCAAGGGGTCGGCCGCTGCCAGCTGTGTCAAAAACAGTGACCGTGCCCAGATGTTCTTTCTAGACTTGATTCTCCCGCCTCCCTTCTGGGGTTTAGGGTTTAGGGTTTAGGCTGCGTAGAACACCTACTTTGGGACTTTACGTAAATCCAGGTTGCTATGCTGAGAGGGCTGAAAAAGCTGGGTCTTTTCGTGTGAGCTGTTGCTAGGTTGCGATTCCCCATCTGAACTTCTGAACCCCCTAAACCCCGAACCTCTCAAATCCCTCAACCCTGTGACCTCCATGAATCAGCTTTAGGGTGGAGGGCTTAGGGTTCAGAACAGCTCAACTTGTCACCCTATTTGTTGCGTACTTCCAAAACGGTTCTCTTGAGCCTTTAAGAGATGGCTCGCTCAAGTCCGACAGCGCAGAGAACTCTCTTGAACTGCGTAGGGTTTTCAGGGTTTACTCCTAAACCCTAAACCCTAAACCCTAAACCCTAAACCCTAAACCCTCAACCCTCAACCCTAAACCCTACACTCCTGAGCCCTTCACCCTGCACCCTGTGACGATTCAGGCTGTGGTGACCTTGTTCACTGCGCGGCAGAATCGCTGGGCCTACGCTCGCTGCCTAGACATCTACAGCGCCCACTTACACTTGCTGTTTAGGGTTTTGGGGTTTAGGGTTTAGGGTTTAGGGTTTAGGGATCAGGGTTTAGGGTTTAGGGTTGGCTAGCAGAGAATGGGGGAATCAGGTACCCTATGAAATCCCTTAAAGGGTATTTGTACGGTACAGGGGGGTAGGCTTGGGGTTCAACCCTAAACCCTGAACTCGAAATCCTCAACTCTCAACCCTAGTTCACTGATCAAGATGCCCTAAAAACCGTGGCTCAAGGTACCCTTGAGGCCCTGATTAAGATGTACTTGGGAGGGGTAAGCCCTAAATCCTAAATCCTTGAAAGGGGGCTTCTTGTGCGAGAAGAAGTTGATGAGCAAGGCGCAGAGTTGTCCTAAACCCTAAACCCTAAACTCTAAACCCTAAACCCTAAACCCTAAACCCATTTGGAGCATCAACGGCAGGGTGGCGGAGCACACGAACTCGCGCGCCGCAAGACCACCTAGGACCCAGGGACTCCCATACCCCTAAATCAAGGAATATTCCTTAACATATGGTTTAGGCTTTAGGGTTTAGGGTTTAATATTGTTTAAGGAATATCCCTTTATTCAGGAGTATGGGGGGTCTCTGTAAGGACTATCCCTTAACTTTAGGCTTTAGGGTTTAGGGTTTAGGGTTTATTAGGGTTATATGGTTTAAGGAATATCCCTTAACTAAGGAGCCTGGGAGTCTCTCTGGAGTCCGCAAGCTCCGTTGCTCAGATGGTAGTACTCTCCACCTTTCCATCTCAGGAAGTCAGGAAGTGGGGGGGCGGCAAGCCCTAAACCCGAAACCCTAAACCCGAAACCCGAAACCCTAAACCCTAAATTAGGTTTATAAACCCTAAACCCTAAACCCTAAACCCGCAAACCCTCCCTGGGGTGCTGAGTGCACCGCCAACAAAGAAGAGGATTTGAAGATGCTGACCGAGCAGATTGGTATGGACGTCATCCGCTGCCAAGTAGAGCCCAACATCTCACCCACCATCACAGATGCCCGTGCGAACATCGAGAAGGTGATGGCAGGAAAGCATCACGAGGAAGTACAATTTTGTTTAGTTGTTAAGAGGAAATAATCATGTGGAGCAACGTTTTTTTCCGGGAAAGTCCGAACGCCAACTGCTATGAAGGCTCCGAAGTTGCCAGGCGCTGGTAGGACTGGCCCTAAACCTCCAAGCCCCCGAACCCTAAAGCCCGAAAGCCCTGAAATCACGAAAAAAGCCCTTAACCCCCCTAAAAGCCCCAAAGCCCCGAAAATAACAGACCCTAAGCCCTCAACCGGCAACCTTCAACCCTCAACCCTCAACCCTCCACCCTCCACCCTCCACCCTCCACCCCTAACCCTAAGCCCTCAACCCTAAGCCCGTAACCCCTAACCCTAAACCCTCAACCTTCAACCCTCAACCCCTCAACCCCCCTCAGGAAGTTGTGGAGCCCACGACTGGGTCGCGCCTGCTCGCTTCGGCAACGGGCTTCGTTTAGGGTTGAAGGTTTAGGGTTAGGGGTGGAGGGTGGAAGGTGGAGGGTTGAGGGCTGAGGGTTGATTTTTGGGTTCTTTTGAGTTGGTTTAGGGTTTGGGGCTTTTGTGGTCGAGGGTTTTGGGTTTAGGGTTAGCTTTTTTGTTATTGGTTTAGTAGGGGTTTTGCAGGGTTTAGGGTTAGATGTTGAGGGGCAGTTTAGGCTTAGGAAACCGGGTTTGTGTTCTATAGTGTTCAAGGGCTTGAGGTAGGGTTTGTTGTTATAGTTTTTACTTATTTATTTATTGCCTATATGTGTATATATATATATATATTTTTTTTTTTTATTTTTGTATTTTTTTATTTCTGGGGGGGGGGGGGGGGCACTTTCGGGGTCTTGTAGGGTGCAACCGCATAGTGCACAGACGTGTGTGAGCGCATGTGTAAGGGTACATGTCGTCATGAAGACGATGTTCATGCACATCTCTCTTTGCAAGGTGTAACTTTAAGGACCCTAAAGCCCAAACCCTAAACCCTAAACCCTAAAGCGCATGCAAGTACTCGTCCCTTGGTGCCGTCAAAGCCAGCCCCATATCCCGTGACGGTGGTGACTGCCTTGGGGACGAAATGAACCCTAAAACTGGGGTCATATCCCCCTATTAAGGTATATGAACCATAGACTCTTTAAGGGTCTATTGAGTCCCCTTACTACTTTAATACCTTTTAAGGTATCTGAACCATAACCCCCATTCAGTCCCCAAGGTGGAACCTTCTTCGGCTACAGGGACGACATGAACCCACAAAGGGTTTAGGGTCCATACATGGGTCCCTGTTTACCTTATCTATTTTGAAGAGTAATGCTCTATCGAGGGGGCCAAAAAGGGGTACGAGAGATGGGTTCAAGTACATGGTACGGGGGGTACGGTACGGAGGTTCGTGTGGCACGGTTCAGGGGTGCGGGTTAGGGGTACGGGTACGGTACGCGTACCCCAAGGACCGTACCATATGTACCCGTACCAAATTTAGCGTGACATTTCCACGATTTAGCGTGACATTGTCACGCTAAATCGTGGAAATGTCACGCTAATTTTGGTACGGGTACGTGGTACGGTCTGTGGGGTACACGTACCGCACCCGTACCCCGAACCCGTACCCCTCGACCGTACCACCTGTACCCCTTGCCCGTACCTCCGCACCGTACCCTTCGTACTGTGCAGGCGTACCCACCTCTACCATTGCAAAATGGCATCCGTACCTCACGTATTGTCTTCGATAGAAACCCACCCTTTCATTGCTCTTGAAAGTAGCCAATGTTTACCTACAGTTTGGAAGTAAGTACCACCCCCTATGTAGTGGCATAATGCTTGAGCCCGTGCGTTAATAGGGTCCCAGGTATACCAGAACAGGAAGTCGAATAGCCTCTAGTAGCCTAGGGCATATGACCCCACTTCAGAGGGTTCCGGGGGCCCTAAACCCTAAACCCTAAACCCTAAACTTTAAACCCTAAACCCTAAACCTTAAACCCTAAACCCTAAACCCTAAACCCGCCCCAAGGCAAAGGTCCAAGATGCTCTGAGGCGCTTATCAGTTTGAGGCAGCAGGTGGTCGAGTTGAGAGCTCAAACCCCCAAACCCGTCAACCCCATTTGGGGTTTTGGGGTTTGGGGTTTAGGGTCCCCCGAAAACTCTTCTGAACACCTAAGCCCCTCAACCGAAGCACCCAACCCCCGAAGCCCTAAACCCCTAACCCTAAGCAAATGCTCAACCCTGACATCCCAAAGCCGGGTCTAGGGCCTTCATCGAGTGGGAGAAGGATGCGCAAGCCAAGATGTTTGGCCCTCGGGGGGAGGGGGGGGCGGGGGGTGGGGTGGGCCTTGTGGGCTTATCGGGCTTATAGGGGTTGTGGGCTTCGAGTTTTTGGGGTGCGGGTGTCCATTTGCTCACTATTTTGGGGTCATAGGGTTTAGGACTTAGGCGGGTGGGTTTTGGTTTAAGATGAAGACCATTTTTGGGTAGCTTCTAGGCCCCCCAAAACCCTAAACCCTAAACCTGTTTAGGGTTGGTTTAGGGTTGAGGATTTAGGGTTTAGGGTTTAGGGTTGGGGGGGGGGGGGTAGTTACGAGGGCCCAGCCAAATGGTAATTTCTCTAAATCTTAGTAGCTGAGTAGTTAACCTTCTATCTTTATATACATTATAATATATATATATATAGTGTATCCTACCATAATTGAAAGGTTAACCTTTTTTTGGGCCCCGGGTACTCAGCAACTAAGAAATTGTCGTGCCTCTTGGGTTCCTTGCGCCAAAATGCCCCCCCCCCCCCTGACGAAACGACCAGAAGCAAAGAGGAGATCAGTGATGGAGTGAGTTTAGGGTTTAGGGTTTAGGGTTTAGGGTTTAGGGTATATATCCTGTGCCGGGGCTCATCTACGGGGTCCTCATTATGATTGTAGGTCCACCCCTAAACACTATACCCCCAAAACCCTGAACCCCCTAAACCCCCTAAACCCCCTAAACCCCCTGGAAGAATGAGATGATCCCCAGCGAAGACTCCAAGTACCTCCTCCTAGGGGAGGAGGGCCTCTGGAAAGTGACAAAGCAGTCAGCGATGCTGGAGGATGAGAACAAGTCCGCTTTGGACCCTACGTACCTGAAGAGCGACCGCCTGAAGGCGATTTTTGCTGAGTTTAAGGAAAAGATGCAGCAACCCACAGAAGAGCTGCCAGATGACTTTGACAATGCGGTGAAGAAGTGGGAGATTGAGACAGCTGATGTGCTCAATGATTTGAAACCCCCCCCTAAACCCCCTAAACCCCCTAAACCCCCTAAACCCCCCTAAAGCCCCTAAACCCCCCTAAACCCCCCTAAACCCTCCTAAACCCCCCTAAACCCCCCTAAACCCCCCCTAAACCCCCTAAACCCCCCTAAACCCCCCTAAACCCCCTAAACCCCCTCAACCCCCCAAACTCCCTAAACCCTAAACCCCCCTAAACCCCCCTAAACCCCCTAAACTTCCTGAAAACCCTACACCCCAGTTCCGACCGAAGCCCAAGCCCCTGCCGGATGCCAAGGCTCTACGACCACATGATGTCTCAGGACTGCGAGTTTAGCCCCGAGGGCCCATGTACCTGAATAGGATTTTAGGGGCTTAGGGTTTAGGGTTTAGGGTTTAGGGTTTAGGGCTACGATGAACCCTGAGGGTCCATGTACCTATAAAAGGGAAGCCTGGGCCTCAAAGGACCTCCTGTCTAGGGACTTTGGGGCCAAAGTGTAGAAGAATGAGGTACATGGACCTTTCGGGTAGGGGTTTAGGATTTAGGGTGTAGGGTTCAGCGGATTTGCTTCTTAGGGCTTTCTTAGGAGTTTAGGCTTAGGGCTTAGGCTCTTGGGATTGAGGGTTGAGGGCTTAGGGTTCAGGGTTGAATGCGATTGTAGGGCTTGTTTGAGACTGGAAGCTGCCGTAAGACGCAACCTGTTCCCGTTCCTGGACAGATCACCTAGAAACCCTACAACCTCGAACCCTAAACCCTAAACCCTAAACCCCAAACTTAGAGCATGCAAGGCCTGTTGGGTATACAGGGATAGTAAGGGTTTAGGGCACTGCAGTTTGTCAGAGGACGCAGAGGAGGAGCTGGCGCCTCAGGTAGGGTTTAGGGGTTTTGGGTTTAGGGTTTAGGGTTTAGGGTTTAGGGTTTAGGGGTTTGGGTTTAGGGTTTAGGGGTTTAGGGGTTTAGGGTTTAGGGTTTAGGGGTTGGAGTCTATCAGCTTTGGGTGTCTGGCGTTCTTGCCGCGTGCTGGCGGCTCCCTGGATCGCTTCAAGCACAGCCCCGGTCACGCCCGAAACGGGGAATAGGGTTTCGGGTTTAGGGTTGAGGGCTGGGGGCTTAGAGTTTAGGGTTTAGGGTTTAGGGTTTAGGGTGTCGGGCGCATGCTTTAGGAGTGTTCTTGCAGATGGAGCAGTAGTCGGAGTCATCTCTCAGTGAATAACGTATACCCTATAGGGCCCTATAGCTGGAGCTTCATCCTTCCAGCAAGGACAGTCAGGTTTCACACATGTCGCAGCTAGAACCCTGAACCCTAAACCCTGAACCTTAAACCCTGAACCCTAAACCCTAAACCCTAAACCCTAAATAAACCCTAAACCCTAAACGGCCCTAAACCCTAAACCCTAAACCCTGACCCCCGACTGTTGGGATGCTACTGGCACTTGCTTCCCACCATGGCATTGACTCTCGCACTTGAGCGATTCGGGCACGAATCCTTCGCAGGGGAAGGGCCTAGCGTTTAAGCTCGGGTTCAGGGCTGTTTGTTCTGGGGTTCCTGCAGAGGTGCACTACCCCGCACCCTAATCCAGGACCAGACCCCATTTAAACTTTAAGACCCACCTGGAGGAACCCTTTTAAACCCCCCTTCGCCCTAAACCCTAAACCCTAAACCCCAAACCCCTGAACCCTAAACCTTGAGAAAGAGGAACTCTTTTCATTTCCTTTTAGGGGCCGTTCACGCTGAGTAGACACCTTTAGGGCCCGAAATCCCCAAGCTGAAGGTTCAACAAAGCCTAAACCCCCCTAAGCCCTCAACCCTAAGCCCTAAATCTTAGTAAGTCTACTTAGTTTCCCCTAGAACACGCCTTTCTACCCGTACCTAGCAAGTCAAGCGGGCTTGCACGCAAGCCCTATAAACCCTATAAACACTAAACCGCTGAACCCTAAACCCTACAAACGCTATGTAGTCGGTGATCGCATGAGCTGTGGGTCTTCTGAGGAAACCTGCAGACGACAAGCCCGACAAGAAGGCGCTAAATCCTGAACCCTCACCCCTAAAGCCTAAACCCGCAACCCTAAACCCTAAACCCTAAACCCTATACCCTATACCCTAAACCCTAAACCTCAACCCTACAGTCCTAAGAAGTCCCAAAACACTATAAAGCGGGTGAGATTTAGGGTGTGTCTGTTGGAGTGTGCTCTGGGCGTGCTACATTTTACTTTCAAAGGGCTTGACGTAGAGGAATACTGGACTCCTGCGAGAAAAACAAAAGAGTTTAGGGTTCAGGTTTCAGGGTTTAGGGTTTGGGACTTGGCCGGCAGCTTGCAATATTGTACGCTTCTTGTTGTGCGTGGGGCTGCGACTTGAAAGCCGGACGTGTTTTTGTTCACTCAGGAGAGATTTCGGCCTCGGGGTGTCAAGGTTCAGCTTTTTGTTTCTGGGGTGCTGGCCTTAACTGTCGTACTTAAGTACCCTGTAGGCCCAAACCCAAAACCCAAAACCCTAAACCCTAAACCCTAAACCCTAAACCCTAAACCCTAGACTGAAACCCCAGCATGAAAGCCTCCAGCCCCCCACAAGTCCCATGTCGCCAGGAGCAGGAGGCAGAGAAGAGGAAGGAGGCGCGACGCGCACGCGTGAGCAGCCTTCCCCTTCATCACCGAAACCCCCCTTTCATTTTGACTAGGGTTTAGGGTTTAGGGTTTAGGGTTTAGGGTTTAGGGTTTAGGGTTTAGGGTTTAGGGTTTAGGGTTTAGGGTTTCTGGCTTCAGGGATTTTGGGGTTTAGGGGTTTCGGAGCCATATACACCCTCATCTAACCGTAAGTCCTCAATCATCATGAGCATTGTGCCCTTGAAAGGTGATCTGGTCTCTTAGGGTTTAGGGTTTAGGGTTTAGGGTTTAGGGTTTAGGGTTTAGGGTTTAGGGTTTAGGTTGAAGGCTTAACGTAAAAAAGTCACAAACTGCTCAGAAATTGGCATTGAGACGAGGAGATCTCAACACACAACACACGAAGAGCCAAGCCCTAAAACCATATTGCCCTGAACAATTTTGAAATGTCTCTAAGACCCGCAACCCTAAACCCTAAACCCTGAAACCCGAAAGTCCAAAAACCGAAACACCTAAATCCTAAACCCCAAAGCCCTCATCAGCAATCATTCCATCCCAGACCTTTGGGAGGATCCCAAAAGTAGAACGCCCTTAGGGTTTAGGGTTTAGGTTTAGGATTTCGGGTTTGCCCTGTAATATTGGGCCATTTGTTGTAACGCTTAAGGGGATCTACTTTTTGGATCCTCCCAGGGGTCTGGGATAGTCAAGCCTGCGTCGCTCGCAGGAGCAGCGCCAACGTGATGCCGAGGCCGTCGCTAAGTCTCTGCCCTGGAGAGCAAACGAACCCTACAATTGGGTTTAGGGTTTAGGGTTTAGGGTTTAGGGTTTAGGGTCTAGGGTTTAGGGTTTAGGGTTTAGGGTTCAGGGTTTAGGGTTTAGGGTTTAGGGTTTAGGGGGGTTAATTAGGGTTGAGGGTGTATGCGCCCTATACTACCATAATTCCGATTAATGTAGTATCAACCAGACACCCTTTTGGGCTTCATCCGGCCCCCCAAGCCCCAAGGCAAGGTTTAAGGCTTTAGGGCCAAGGTTGAGGCGAGGTTTCGATCGGGGGTCCCCTTTTAAGGGCCCATGCGAAGGGACCATGTATCTACCCCTGAACCCTATAGGTTCAGGGTTTAGGGTTTAGGGTTTAGGGTTTAGGGTTTAGGGTTTCGGGTTTGGGGTTTAGGGTATAGGGTTTAGGGTTTAGGGTTTAAACCCTAAATCCCTAACACCAGATCGGGTTCTGCCACCAGCTCACTTGGAAGTTTGGAGGGCCTCGTGGCCCTTCGGGGTGCTTCGCGCTGAAGCGGAGGCCAATGTCGGGGAGCAGCCTTGTTGGAAGGACTTCTCCATGTCTTCCCGCGGCGTGACGTGGAGAATCTTCGAGGCCTTAGAGCAGTCTAGCAGTTGTTCCGCCAGACGGCCGATGATGACAAACACGCCGAAACCTCGGCGGCTTTTGGAAGGCGAGCCCTAGACCCTAAACCCTAGACCCTAAGTCCTAAACCCTAGACCCTAAACCCCCAAACCCTAAAACAGAAACCCTGAACTTAGAGCCTAAATCCTAAACCCCAAGGTGTGAACTTAGAGCCTACATCTCAAACCCTAAACCCTGCACCTAGAGCCTAACCGAAACCTAAGCGCAACGCGTGATGCCGAACAACCCCACATCCTATATAAACCCTAGAATCAAACCCAAAACCCCAAGCCCGAGAAAAACCCTAACTCCCCAAGCCCCTCAACCAGGGAACCCTAAGCCCCAAGCCGTAAATCCCCAAACCCCTAAACTAGGGAATTTTGTAAGTGCGTACAGTAGGGTTATACAGTGAATCTTAGAACCCTAAGCCTTCAACCCACTATGAGCCCTAAAAATCCCAAGCCCCGACAATCAGATCCTAAACCCCAAATCCTAAACCCTCTTACCCTGAAGCTCCAGACCCTAAACCCCAAACCCACGAAACCCCGGCCCAAAACCCTAAACCCTAAATAACCCTAAACCCTAAACCCTAAATAACCCTAAACCCTAAACCCCTAGACCCGAAGCCCTAAACCCTTTTCCCACAAAGCCCAAAACCCGAGTCGGAAGTGCCTCGGCTCTCGCCCTGGTGGCGCAGGCGGCCGAGCGACGGCGCCAGGAAGAGGTTGGGGTATTTAGGGTGTAGAGTTTAAGGTTTAGGGTATTTAGGGTATCTAGGGTATTTAGGGTTTAGGGTATTTAGGGTATTTAGGGTGTTTAGGTTTTCGGGTTTAGGGTTGAGAAGGTTTAGGGTTTAGGGCTTAGGGTTTAGGGTTTAGGGTTGAGAAGGTTTAGGGCTTCGGGTCTACGGTTACCTCGGGCTCAGGGGTTTAGAGGGGTTTAGGGTGACAGACTCATGAGGCTGAAGTTGATGGCCACACCGCAAGGAAGAGGTTCAGGGTTTCGGTGCCCGACCAGCAAGCAACCCATGCAAGCCACTAGGGGAGTTCCAAACCCCAAATCCTGTGTGTGTGTGTGTGTGTTTGAAAACACCTGTTTGCCCTACGTAATCCTAGTCCCTAAGCAGGAATCATCCCAGTACACCCTAATCTCCAGGCATTAAACCTCTGTAAGGCCCAAAATCCCTAAACCCTACGATTTTGCAGCAAACTAATTACTTTCATTGACAAGATCCCTAACCCACAATCCTAGAATCAAACTCCAAACCCCAAACGCAACCAAGCAACGGCGATTGGAGATGTTGCCACCAGGCCGAAGAGCGAAGGAAGCGAGACGAGGCCTGTTCCGGACCACTCAGATCCCACGAGAGGTTTAGGGTTTGGGGGTTTAGGGTTTAGGGCTTGGAGGTTTGGGGTATAATTTGGGGGCTTCGGGCTCAGGTTTAGGGTTTGGAGGTTTTCGGTTTGGGGGCTTAGGGCTTAGGGTTTAAGCCGCAAGTAAGGTATAACCCTAAACCCTAAACCCTAAAACCTAAACCCTAAACCCTATACCTTGGGCTACAGGACGCCCGAGGTTTGCTTATCCTACGTAGACAACCCGCCAGAACACCTGGCAGCCCTGGCTGGGTGCGGCTCAGCCTGGAGGGTTTATGGTCTAGGGTTTAGGGTTGAGGGTTTGGGGTTTAGGGTTTAGGGTTGAGGTCCTTGTGAATGTGCATGGGCAAGAGATGCCTACAGTTCTGAACATGCCTGCCGAGCAAGCAGCTGCTCTTGCCGGGGCTGGAGGTCCTCTCCGGTCCTGTCGCACAGGCCAACAAGGCAAAAGGGGTTTAGGGTTTAGGGTTTAGGGTTCACGGTTCATGGTTTAGGGCTTGGGGTCGTCGGATCCGAGTGCAGAGACGAAGCGCCACGTCCTGGCCATCAGGCAGCAACAGAGCACACTCTGAACAATGCTCTTGTCGTTGTTAACGATATGTGCAGAAATATGTATATATAGATGTATAAATATAAATAGAAATATTATAAATATAAGTAGAAATATAAATATAAATGAACATACAAAATGTAAATATAAATATAAATATAAATATGTGTATATATATATGATGTACATATAGATGTGTGTGCAAATCTCGAACCCCGAAGCAAGAATCATCCCAAGACCCCAAACCAACAAATCTCAATCCCCAAGCAATATTTCCTTCCCTAGGCCCTAAACCCTAAACGCTCATCAGATTTAGCCGTAAACTACTATGATGTGCAAGATGCCTGAACCCTAATCCGAAACCATAAACCCTACACCCTAAGCCCTAAGCCCTAAACCCTAAACCCTAAACCTTAAACCCTAAACCCTAAACCCTAGACCCTAAACCCTAAACCCTAAGCCCTAAGCCCTAAGCCCTAACCCCTAAACCCTAAACCCTAAACCCTAAACCCAAAGCCCTAAACCCTAAACCCTAAACCCTAAACCGCAACCAAGCAACGGCGATTAGAGATGTTGCCACCAGGCCGAGGAGCGAAGGAAGCGGGACGAGGCCTCTTCCTGATAGGGTTCTTAGGGAAGGGGGGTTCAAGGGGGGTTTAGGGTTTAGGGTTTGGGGTTTGGGGTTTAGGGTTTTAGGGATTTGCGCTCTACTGTGGGTTGACGGTACTCACTCAAGGAACCTTCCGTGGACTGCACGTACGAAAGATACAAATACGAATAGAAGTGCACCGAAGTCTCCTTTTGGGGGTGCCGTTAGGGCCTCAATCCCCTTATGCGCTTCCTAGGCAACCTACAAGAAGTAAGGCAAGAATTTAGGATTCAGGGTTTCGGGGTTTTAGGGTTAGTCCTAGCTCAAGGGCCCTTTCAGGGTGCAGGCTTCTGGGATGAAAGCTCTATGTGCCTCGACGTACACAGGTTGTAAACCCTAAGCCCAAAACCCTGTATCCCCTAAACCCCAATCCCTAAACCCTAAATCCTAAACCCTAAGCCCTATTTCCGAAACCCTATTCCCTAAACCCTAAACCGCCAAACGCGCGGGTAGGTGGTGTGCGTAGGGCAATGGCGACGGTAGGGCGTGTCTTCGGCCAGGCCGACGAGAGGCGGAAGCGCGACGAGGCCCCAAGCCCTAAACCCTAAACTCTAGGGTTTAGGCTTAGGGTTTAGGGTGCAGGGTGTAGGGTTTAGGAACCCTAAGCCCTCAGTCCTAAGCCCTAAACCCTAAACCCTAAACCCTTCAGGACATGTGGTTTGCCCAAGTTAACCCAACGAAGTCTGGACCCTGTGCCTGCTTGGTGTCACCAAATATTACTCCTCATGCGGCTCAACCTGAACCCGACACCCCGAAGTTCGGAAACCTAAGGACCTCTCAAACTAAACCATAAACCCTACACCCTATACACCTTGACCTGAACGGAGTGTCTGCAGCCGGATGTACTGCGACAGATCCAGGGTCTGATTGACGAAGGCATCCTGGAGGCAGAGCAGTTGCTGCCTGAGGTTGTTCGTCGTCTAGAGACGAGGAAGGCCTTGTCGGGCGCCACTGTTGTGGAGCAGCTGACCAAGGGCATAGCTGCCGAGGGGCTGGACGTAGGCATGCTGAACTTCGTGCAGGTGTTGCGTGGCGTCGCGGGCATGTGTGCGCTCTGGCACCGGGACAACTGGCCTCGGCATGTGGCCCTAGTTTCATATAAGAGAGATTCTCGCCATTATGGTTGATTTTGGGCAGGTGTCTTGTATACCGAGCCTTATACAAAATATGTATTTCATAGAGTTGCATACCCAGAATGGCACATCATTCAGAGCATCCCCAGAAGACTTGGGTTCCAAAGTCATGAGATTGGAATCAGCTTGACTGTCATCTATTCCCGCAACAACCCAAATATATCCTTTGCGTACGCTACACCTAGCTCAAGCCCACTCTCTTCGTGGTTTGTTAGGCCCCATGTGTTGAATTCCTGTAAATTCCTAGGCTACTTGATCCTGAAGCGAAACGCCAGGCGTTGCACCCCAAACCCCAAACCTCATGAGCCCATCGCCGTCGCTGGAGACCTGGAGGGATTAGGTAGTTTAGGGTTTAGGGTTTAGGGTTTAGGGGTTGGGGGTCAAGTTCTTTTGGCATTCGGGCCAACCAGGACCATGAACCCGAAGGCTGGATGAGCGTGCTTTCCGTGGAGCTTGGCGATCATCCCAGACCCCAGGAGGATCCAAAAAGTAGAGCCCCCTAAATAGTAACTAAATAGGATTTAGGGTTTAGGGGTTTAGGGTTTAGGGTTTAGGGTTTAGGGTTTAGGGTTTAGGGTATCCTGCACTACTAGCGGGTCATTCTTAGGAAGCCCTTGAAGAGATCTACTTTCTGAATACTCTCAGGTGTCTGGGGTCAAGGTTTGAGCCTGCCAGACGCACGGCAACGAGAGCTTGCAGCTCAAGTCAAGCAAACCCTAAACCCCAAACCCTAAAACCCTAAACCCCTTGGGTTTAGGGTTTAGAGTTGGTTTAGGGTTTAGGATTTAGGGTTTAGGGTTCTAAAACCCTAGACCCTAATCCGCAGCCCCCAGCCGGGGGTAACCCCAAGTTCTAGGCAAAGGACCGCAAAGCTTTGTTTGCAAGGAAAGATGATCAGGCCGAATAATGGGCTGATCAGCTACTCCTAAGCTCTCCATTATGTGCTTCAGAAAGGTAGGTCAGGTAAGCCCGTTAGTTTTCCCAAACCCTAATCCACAAAAAACATCTCTTTTCTAAGCCTGAAACCCCTAAAGCCTGAAACCCCTAACCCTAAACCCTAAACCCTAAACCCTAAACCCTAAACCCTAAACCCTAGTTAAAGCGCCCTGGATCCGCGACCGGCCAAACAACCCTCGGCCCCTCCCTTTTGACAGGCCGCGGCAGAAGAGCGGAAGCGGCGGGAGGAGGCTCGGATGGGCTGAGGGTTTAGGGTTTAGGGTTTAGGGTTTCGGGTTTAGGGTTTAGGGTTTAGGGTTTCGGGTTTAGGGTTTAGGGTTTAGGGTCTGGGAATTACGGTCTTCTGAAGGCCCAAAAAGAGAATCACCCTTAAAGGGACCCCAAAAACGGGTACCCCGATTTTCGGACCTAAACCCTAAACTCCAAACCCCAAACCCCAAAGCCCAAACCCCAAACCCCAAACCCCAAACCCTAAACCCTAAACCCTAAACTATGGGACTGCGGGGTCTGGATACGGTCGCCTCGGTTGGGGGATGTTGGGGTGCTGCGCACCAGGTGTCCCCCCCCCCCCCCCAAACACTAAACCCTAAACCCTAAACCCTAAACCCTCCAGGAGGGTGCGAACGCCTTAAACTTGGGGGCTTAGTAGGGTCTCAGGTTTAGGGTCTAGGGGTTAGGGTTTAGGGTAAGGACCCCCTACTACTCAGAGATTACGGTACCGGAGCCCATACTTCCCTCTGATCTATCTGCGACGAGATGTATGCTGCGTAGATGGTGTTTTTCAGATGTCATGTTCTGATTTCCTGAACCCTAAACCCTAAACCCCTTCATTCGACACACTAACGCGCAAATCTCAAGCAGTCCCCATGGTTCGTAGCATGGCAGTGAGGGGATACCTTATATTTTTCAGGCTATATTGCCCTAAACCCTAAACTCTAAATCCTAAACCCTAGAAACCTAAACCCTAAACCCTAAACCCTAAACCCTAAACCCTGACCCCTGTCATTCCCTACTAAGAGCCGGTAAGTCGCAAGCTCATCAGGCAGCTGCGGCTGAGGAACGGCGGCGGCGGGACGAGGACGTGCACTGTTTTGTCACAGACCCCTAACCTGGGAGACCAGATGGGTTTAGGGTTTAGGGTTTAGGGTTTAGGGTTTAGGGTTTCAGGGTTCAGGATTTAGGGTTTAGGGTTGAACCCCGCCGAAAGCTTGCGGGGTTTAGGGTTGAGGTTTGAGGCTTTAGGGGTCACTCCTATTGATTCCTATTAAGGTCATGAACCATAAACCCGTTACGGGTCAAAATGCCTAGATGGTAGGGCTCCTTGTGTTCTTTTTAGGTTTCTAGGCGCTTGAAATTCGAAGGCGAAGTTTACAAGGCAGTACCGGGGCTTAGGGTCCGGAGGGTTTAGGGTTTAGGGTTTATTAGGGTTTATTAGGGTTAAGGGTTTAGGGTTTAGGGTTTAGGGTTTAGGGTTTAGGGTCCGGAGGCTCTACTTGGAGGTTCATGGTACTTGTTAACCAATCATAGCTGTACTTCTAACTGTACTTATAAAACCATATTAGGGCACTTCAGGGGCTTTTAAGTAGGTTACAGGTACGGTTTTCATTGGCAAATAAGTACCATGAGCCTCCAAGTAGGAAAGAGTTATCTTTCATGGGTGCGTGCAAAGTTATATATCAACAGAAGTACGGGGCGCGTCCCTAGGGTCTCTACTTTCTGGATCCTCCCAGGGCTCTGGGTTGTAGTTTAAGTTCGGTGCTGGGTGTGCTGCGTGTGGCCGTTCCGTTGAATCTCAAAAGGGAGGTTTCAAGCCTAAACCCTAAACCCTAAACCCTAAACCCTAAACCCTAAATAGGGAAGATAAGGATACCTTCTGTTGAGGCCCTTCTTCGCAACTTTCGGTATTGGTGCGTAGTGCCAAGCATTGGGTTGGCTAAAAATGGCCGACTGCGATACAAGACCGCCTGGCGCAGGAGCTGGACCGCGAAATTGCCAGGCTCAGAGATGTAGTGTCTAGCCCGTTTAGGGTTTAGGGTTTATTTAGAGTTTAGGGTTTAGGGAGCCTAAAGCATGTTCCCAAATGCTCACCTTTTTCCCCACCCCCTCCCTATAGATACTGAGAACCCCAAATAGCCCATCCCAGCCTTCGCCGTGCGCTTTTGGGTGGTGGGGTGGGTTTAGGGTTTAGGGTTTAGGGTTTAGGGTTTAGGGTTTAGGGTTTAGGGTTTAGGGTTTAGGGTTTAGGGTTTAGGGTTTAGGGTTTAGGGTTTAGGGTTTAGGGTTTAGGGGTAGGGTTAGGGTTTAGGGTTTAGGGTTTAGGGTTTAGGGTTTAGGGTTTAGGGTTTAGGGTTTAGGGTTTAGGGTTTAGGGTTTAGGGTTTAGGGTTTAGGGTTTAGGGTTTAGGGTTTAGGGTTTAGGGTTTAGGGTTTAGGGTCAGGGTTATGGTAATCATATACTCAGAAACCCCGACAGGCCTGCAGGGGTGCTGCTTAGGCATCTGCAAAACCCTGAGCCCTACGACCTCCAATCCCCAAACCCCAAACCCCAAACCCTAAACCCTAAACCCTAAACCCCCCCAGGGGTTCAGGGTTCAAAGGGTTCAGGCCACCTGAACACTGAGTCCGCAAAGCCTCCTGAACCCGAGCCAACTCTAGGAACCACGGCTGGGGGTTTAGGGTTTAGGGTTTTCTTTCTTCTGCTGATGGTAGAGTCTCTAAGACGCACCATGAATTCCTCCTGGGGCTCAGCCCTCAAGTGGTTGAAAGCC